GGGAGCAGGGATGGGCTGGGGGCACCAAGAGCATCCTAGAGAGGTGGTTGTGGGGCAAGAGGCTCAGGGGTGGGAGCAGGGATGGGCTGGGGGCACCAAGAGCATCCTAGAGAGGTGGTTGTGGGGCAAGAGGCTCAGGGGTGGGAGCAGGGATGGGCTGGGGGCACCAAGAGCATCCTAGAGAGGTGGTTGTGGGGCAAGAGGCTCAGGGGTGGGAGCAGGGATGGGCTGGGGGCACCAAGAGCATCCTAGAGAGGTGGTTGTGGGGCAAGAGGCTCAGGGGTGGGAGCAGGGATGGGCTGGGGGCACCAAGAGCATCCTGGAGATCCAGATGTGGGGCTCAGGGGTGAATCTGGGCTGGTGTGAGGACACCAAGAGCATCCTGGAAATAGAGTTGTGGGGCTCAGAGGTGGAGTGGGGTTGGTGTGGAGACACCAAGAGCATCTTGGAGATAGAGCTGTGGGGCTCAGGGGTGGAGTAGGGCTGGTGTGGGGACACCAAGAGCATCCTAGAGATGTGGTTGTGGTGCTTAGGGGTGGATCGGAGCTGGTGTGGGGGCACCAAGAGGATCTTGGAGAGGTGGTTGTGGGGCAAGAGGCTCAGGGGTGGGTCAGGGTTGATGTGGAGACCCCAGGAGCATCTTGGAGAGGTGGTTGTGGGGTAAGAGGCTCAGGGGGTTGGGAGAAGGGCTGTTGTGAGGACACCAAGAGCATCTTGGAGATCCAGCTGTGGGGCTCAGGGGGGGAGCAGAGCTGGGGTGGGGGCACCAAGAGCATCCTGGAGAAGTGGTTGTGGGGCAAGAGGCTCAGACGTGGTGTGAGGACACGAAGAGCATCTTGATTGTGGGGCAAGAGGCTCAGGGGTGGGTCAGGGCAGATGTGAGGACACCAAGAGCATCCTGGAGACCCAGCTGTGGGGCTCAGGGGTGAATCTGGGCTGGTTTGGGGACACCAAGAGCACCTTGGAGATGTGGTTGTGGGGCAAGAGGCTCAGGGCTGGTGTGGGGACACCAAGAGCATCCTGGAGATAGAGTTGTGGGGCTCAGGGGTGGATCTGAGCCGGTGTGGGGACACCAAGAGCATCTTGGAGAGGTGGTTGTGGGGTGAGAGGCGCAGGGGGGTGGGAGCAGGGTTGGTGTGGGGACACCAAGAGCATCCTGGAGACCCAGCTGTGGGGCTCAGGGGTGGATCAGGGTTGATGTGGGACACTTGGAGATGTGGTTGTGGGGCAAGAGGCTCAGAGGTGGGTCAGGACTGGTGTGAGGACACCAAGAGCATCCTGGAGACCCAGCTGTGGGGCTCAGGGGTGAATCTGGGCTGGTTTGGGGACACCAAGAGCACCTTGGAGATGTGGTTGTGGGGCAAGAGGCTCAGGGCTGGTGTGGGGACACCAAGAGCATCCTGGAGACCCAGCTGTGGGGCTCAGGGGTGGATCAGGGTTGATGTGGGACACTTGGAGATGTGGTTGTGGGGCAAGAGGCTCAGAGGTGGGTCAGGACTGGGGTGAGGACACCAAGAGCATCCTGGAGATGCAGTTGTGGGGCTCAGGGGTGGAGCAGGGTTGGTGTGGGGACACCAAGAGCATCTTGGAGAGGTGATTAGGGAGCAAGAGGCTCAGGGCTGGTGTGAGGACACCAAGAGCATCTTGATTGTGGGGCAAGAGGCTCAGAAGTGGTGTGAGGACACCAAGAGCACCCTGGAGATCCAGCTGTGGGGCTCAGGGGTGGATCTGGGCTGGTGTGGGGACACCAAGAGCATCCTGGAGAAGTGGTTGTGGGGCAAGAGGCTCAGACGTGGTGTGAGGACACGAAGAGCATCTTGATTGTGGGGCAAGAGGCTCAGGGGTGGGTCAGGGCAGATGTGAGGACACCAAGAGCATCCTGGAGACCCAGCTGTGGGGCTCAGGGGTGGATCAGGGTTGATGTGGAGACACCAAGAGCATCCTGGAGATCCAGCTGTGGGGCTCAGGGGGGGAGCGGGGTTGATGTGGGGACACTTGGAGATGTGGTTGTGGGGCAAGAGGCTCAGGGGTGGGAGTAGAGCTGGTGTGAGGACACCAAGAGCATCCTGGAGATCCAGCTGTGGGGCTCAGGGGTGGATCTGAGCCGGTGTGGGGACACCAAGAGCATCTTGGAGAGGTGGTTGTGGGGCAAGAGGCTCAGGGGTGGGTCAGGGCAGATGTGGGGACACCAAGAGCATCTTGGAGAGGTGATTATGGAGTAAGAGGCTCAGGGGTGGGAGCAGGGCTGGTGTGAGGACACCAAGAGCATCCTG